TTCAGCATCTCTAGCACATATACACATCTTCAACAATGTTTGAGATTCTGCAAGTTTTTTTGAATTTTCAGGCATACTTCAAGCCAGCAAATTCTATTCCCGTATGCAACACAAATTTTTAAACGGAGAACAAAATGACATTCTTGAAGTACAAAAGATGTTTTTGACTAAGAAGCTCAGTTCTTACCTCTTCCAAGTTGTTCCTGCGAAAAAAACCGCTTTAGCGCCGTCCAGAATGACGTCAAAAACATGCATGAGCACGGTAGTTTGAAAATTCGTAACTAAGGCCAGGAAAAGACTGAGAAGCTGCAATGGACAGGTACTGTAGCATAGTGCCCAGACTATTCATAGAAAAAGTTTCAGCCCTTGAGGATCAGTGAGCTCGAAAAAATTAAATCAGGCTCTCGAAAATTTAGATGCGATCCTAAAAAGCAAAAACTGTGATTTTCGAGCTTAAAATTTTGTAACTTACCAGAGAAGTTATAAAACAGCCTGAAATTCTTGCGATAAAAACTAGAGGGATGGCCTCGTTTTACAGCAAGTTTGCAGTAATAAGCTTCAATAGCTCCGGAGAAATTTAGATCAGGCGCAGATACGACCCCCTTTTCTCATTTTTTGCTACCATACATAAAATCATAAAAATCCGCAGTTTATAAAATAACACCACATTTCGCACAACAGTAGCAGGGCTTATCCAAAGTACACATAAATGGTAAGGGCCGCATAAATGGCACTACAAAAAGAATTACGAATTATTGATTGTCATCGTTGATCTACATGTGCGCTTTTGTCGAGTGTGCGAGTCTTCAGTGAGCTTTCGGAAGCAGGATGTCTACAATCGGTACATTCAACATCTTTATTACACATACATGCCTTTAGTAGCATTTGAGCTTCTAAAAGTGTTTATTTTTTGGAATTTAGTCATGCCAGCAGAGTTCGATCCCCGTTTGAGACAATATTTTGCGGGAGGAATAGCGATTCCCATAAAAAAAAGAATTAATTTCAAAAGTGCAGCAATTGAAGCGAATTTCTACGCTTGCAAATGTTTTCAAGTTATTGTTCACTAGTTTTTATTTGATACATTGGTACACGGCATTCCATGAATTTATTGTTGAGAACATGTAATAATTACGTGCTATTTGATCTGCTTTCAATCGTACAGTTTTTTATCCAAACTACCCCCTCTCACGACCCCCCCCCCTCGCTGTAGGCCCCCTCTACGAACCCCCGTTTCGAGAGTCGCATCACACGCTTGACCTTGTTCCCAACCTAGAATTTCCAGATGAAAAGCAAAAAAAACTTTAATTGCGATATGGCGCAACAAAGACCCAAAAAATCATATTATTAGGTTGGTGCAAAAGTAATGCGCGTTTTTTTAGCCCTTGTTTCAAGATAGCTTTTCTCCATCGAAGTTTCTCCTATGAAACTTACCCAGCATATTATCAAAAAGCTTCTTTCATGCTCCATTCAACGGTGGTTGAAAGAAGCTTCTTGCCTCATTCGTTAAAAATTTATAGAGCTTCACATAACCGCAGTCAAAACCAGAATTTCAATGCACTTAATTTTTCGGCCAGAATTCAATCGCGAGTGAAGGCATTCTTTTGAAAATTTAGCTACTGTATGTAGTAGAAATTTTCTACGTTATGCACTCTTTATTGTTTTCCTAGAAATTACTTAGACTGAGATCTCGGCTCCTCAACATGAGTGATGGTTTTGGCCATTCTGTGGCCCATAGATTTTCTTTGAAGAGAGTAATCGCCAAGGTTTTGCTTATTTCTGTAAGCGTAACGGTGGACCTCCTGTTTACAGTTTTTGCAGGAGTGTGAAAGCTGTTCAGTACACAGAAAATCAAAAATATCCATATTTTGGGATTTTGAGGCCTACAAAAAATGTCGAAAAAAACGGAAAATTTTGAATATTATTTTTTTCCTTTTCACAAATACTCTTTATTTGAGCCCCTTTGTTTTTTTTGTACTACTGACTTGCGGCTACAAGACAGTGAACTTATCATTTATACCGACAAATCTTCAAGGAAGTTATGATCAGTTAAAAATGATGTTTCCGAAAAAAAAATTTTTTTGCTTATCAATCCATATTTCTCCCCCGATTTGCGAAGTTAACCTAAGGCAATGTGCGCTGTATAGAGAAAGGTTTGATGTCTCTGATGAACTTTGCCGCACTGAAGAAAATGGATCTTTTAGAAAGTTATAGCACGTCAAAGTGAGGACTCGCAAAACGCGCATTACTTTTGCACCAACCTAATACAACCTACATTTTACAAATATTAGGTCGTCCCGAAAGTATTTTCGCTTTTTTCAAACAATCGCCACGGTCCGAAGAAAAAACATCCTGATAGGATTTTAGAAGCATTCGATGCAGTTTTTTATGCTCTTTCAAACAGTTATCTTTGTATTGCAGTTTAACAAATGAGCTCTCAGAAAATTACCAAAAACTGCGCCCCACACTTTTTACCAAGGTCAAGTTTCGCTATTTTTCTAAATTCTTGTACTGGTTTTCCGAAGAAGCCCAAGTAACCTGCGGATAGAGCAAACCAAGTAGGATACAAAACAATTTCTTTCTCCTTTTTAGAGCTCCCCATAATTTTTTGACAAAATTCCAAACAACATTATCGAGTTTTAGCAGATCCATACCAGAGGAAGACTTGTCAAACTTTAAGAATTGGAATTCCCAGTTTTTGATACTCTTAAAAATATATTAAGACTCACTACTAATTTTACTAGACAAATGAGCGTTTCCAGGTTTGAAATATCAAATTTTGAATTTTTCGGGTACATCTTAGGGCGCCATCAAAAACATGAATTTTTTCGATTTTGTCCTCTAAAAGTTTACGAATCAGAAACAAAAAACACGTCTCTGAAAGAGGAGAAGGTGCTGCATCGAATAACACCCGAGTTGCTTCCCGAGTGATGCTCTATGAGGTTTAAGTTGACGAAATATAGAATTTGATAGCATCAAAAACATTTTTCTAAAAATTTTGTAAAGTAAGATTTGGAAGGGGCGAAAATTGTTTTGTATCCTACTTGGTTTGCTCTATCCGCAGGTTACTTGGGCTTCTTCGGAGAATCAGTACGAGAATTTAGAAAAATAGCGAAACTTGACCCTGGTAAAAAGCATGGGTCGCAGTTTTTGGTAATTTTCTGAGAGCTCGTTTGTTAAACTGCAATATAAAGATAACCTTTTGAAAGAGCATAAAAAACTGCATCGAATGCTCTTAAAATCATATCAGGATGTTTGTTCTGCGGACCGTGGCGATTGCTTGAAAAAAGCGAAAATACTTTCGGGACGACCTAATATAAATGAAAACTGAGAAAACTGCATATGGTTAGAAAGAGAGTAAAGAGCTCCATTGAGTGGTTGCTAAAAAAATGCGTTCACTTGCAGAAAAGTAAATAAGATATCTTCATTCTCGCAACTGCTAATGACCATATCTCCTGCCGTCAAGCGTTGAGGCCAGCGGCTGCGACTATCGTACAATTGGTGACAGTCCCATCACTCATTGCAGCAGTGGGATTTTAAATGGTCTCGCATGTTTCACTATGCACATACTGCTCGAAGTTCATAATTTGTGGCATAATTAACTTTGCAGTTCGGCAAGTATAAAAATTATCATTAAGGGAAATGACCTTATTTAGGTACTGTTTGCAAGAGAACTATATTCATCAAACAAATTCGAGAGTTCAATTACTATTCTTTCATGAGAAGCCTACAGTTACTGTCCAAGTATCCCTTTCCTCTGTCACCCTAACACACAGCTTCAATGAACCTACAGCCCTTCGAAAGCAACGCGGCGACAATTTCGTTTCAAACGCGTTTGGCGAGCAGCCAAACCTGCCCGAATTCGGTGGACACGAACTTCACCATTTTCTCATTGTTTGTATAATGATTTTTGTATGCTGGTTTTGTTATTCATGTATGGTTCATTCATGTATGTGTCATAGGGGATATCGTGTTTTAGCTGAGAAGTGAACGTTCATTGTCAAGAAATTGCCACAGGCACCTCGGAGCTTTTTTCTTCCTCTGCGTTAAAGGCAGTGTCCGGGCAAAAAGTCGATTATGGACTTTTGCCTGCCTGGACCTATTCGCTATGGTGATTCCGAAAATCCATACTGGAGAGCAAGAAAACGACAAAAATGGCTTTAACACGTTTCGGACCGCGAATCGCGCGCGGCAAAAAAGAGGGTACTTTCAGCCGTTAGCCAACAAAGGGAGCTTATTTCCCAGACTATGTGCTACATCTGTAATCAGCATGTCAGATAAGATCGATACCCAAAGTTCTGAATGAATTCGAAGTGTTTGAATTTTGTCGCTTGAGAAGGACTTCAGTGCTTTTTTGAAAGATAAGAACAAAAACTCAGTTTCTAATTGTATCCAAAAGTATCTATGTTGTAAACAATACACATGATTATTGAAATTACACTTTTTCTCATTGGATTTGAAGCAAAAAAAAGTTGCGATCGCACGCGTCGTTCGCGTTGCCGCACTTCGTTGCAACTGTTGTTCGAATTATCCTCGTATCTCCTAAACAAATATCGGCGGCACAACTCTACAGAGTTATTTGAAAATAGGAGCCTAGGCCTTTGACAATGATAACCTTGGACAAGAAGGAAACCTCCTGTAACCGTTAAAAAGATACTTCAAAGCCGCGTGCTGCACCATGTGCAGCACCGGTCCGAAACGTGTTAAGGCATGAAGGAAATTAGAAGTGGGCGGGTCTCCCCCACTGTGAATTTGCGGTCCCAGCTTGCGGAACGGTCTCCTCGGTTCCGATTTAGAGTCACGCATTCGCACTTTTCCTGCGGAGATGTCAGGGCGGCTAGCGGAGACCCCGCCCACTTCTAATTTCCCTCCTGCGTCAGGGATATTTCTTGCCGTGTTCGCGCTCTAATGTGGGTTTTTGGATTCAGCAGAGCAAATAGGTTCTGATGAGCACAAAACCTCAAAATCGACTTTTTGCTGGACAGTGCCTTTAAAAACGAAGACTAGAATTCTTTTTTGACACATACCAAACGAATGATTCCTACCTGTCGTGCTTCTACTTTGCTGAAGTTGAACATCTCCTGGGCCAGCTCGCAGCGTTTTATTGGAGAATTGGCGAAGTAGCTAAGTTTAAGGTAGACATCCGTCTTTTCGACACCTTTTCTTACGGAACCTCCGCAGGCGCTTAACTCAGCATACTCAATGAGGAGCTCATCTACATTCTGCAAAAGTTAATATATTATAAAATCTATTTACAAACGTGTTCTTATACATACATTAGATTGTTCCATAATTCTTTAATAGTACATTTTATTAGAATAAGTTGTATCTTCTCAAACCTTGGTAAGACTTGGATCATTTTTAAGAAAGCGAAGCAAGCTTCACGACTGGCGTTCATTATTCATTTCAAGTTTGATTCGTAAACTTTGAAAAAAATTTGTTTCTAAGAAGTACCAAGTTTTCAAAAATAACCCGCCAAAAGCAATGTTTTCCTAAATTTTCCTCAATTTGTCTCACGATTTCATCGAGAATGGAGCTTTTGTAAGCAAACACCCGAGTTTTTGGGCAGTTATAATTTATTTTACCTGGAGTAAGTTTTCTGCAAATGTTTGGGAATCATTCGGTGCTTTTCTTGCTGTATAATAAAACTCAGTTACTAAGTGATAAACCGATATATTTATTAGAAAATTATGTTATCCGCTTTTTTAAACGAGTGCCCATTCCGCCGATCACAAATTCTTGGCGGATCTTGGGCGTATTCGATACAGCTTTTCATCCTCTTTTAGATGTTCGTATTGTATTGTAGCGCAGGCAAAGAGCTTTCAAATGATTTTATCAGAGTAAAGTCGCAGTTTTTGTGAATTCTTCTATCTGGTAGTTGCAAAAGTTTTGTCGGTGTGAAACCACGCACAATAATTATCTAAATGAGTTCAACCTGCATTCGATGCAGCATTTCCTTCTCTTTCTTATGTTTACATTTTCGAACTCTATCTTGTATGCTTTTTTATGAATGCCGGAATTCTTCACTGGTAATTTCTATCTGCCCAATATGCGCTACTTTTCAAAAGGTTCATTCCAAAATTTCGGAAAACATCAAATATGGGCCAAATAAAGAAAATCTGGGACTATACGTGTTTTTAACTCTTAATTTGTTGTTCATAGCTTCAAAAAATCATTTCTTCGGAGTTCACGATTTTTGGCAAAGTCATGAAACATATAGCTGCAGCAAAAACATGGAATGATGACTAAGTTTCTGCAAATTAGAAGTTGACTGTTCTCAAAAGTTATTTGTGCAACATACCAAAGTTCGATTTGCCTTGAAAGATCAGTTCTTCAAAATTTTCGGTACTCTTGTACATGGTAAATATTATGAAAAAGCAGCGGTTTTCCCGAATAAGTATAATTACTACGGACTTGATAAACACGGCTCATGTAATCTAAAATGGTTATAATGTAGGTTGAGGTTTGCTCTACATCCCGCCTACTAGCGCTCATTGAAAATATCGAGGTAAAAATTTACCAAGTTCAGAGAAGATTTAGCATCACTATTGAGATACTCAAAAAGCCATGGCGATAACTTCACAAAGGCAGCATCAGAGAGATATAGCTATGACAAAGAGGACGAAAATCCGATCAAATGTTGTCTGCGTTTATGGATCGGTGTTCTGTGGGTTTTAGCGAGCGATGAAGTGCATTAACAAAACAGGGCAACCTAATTTATCGTCACAAAAGTATCGCTTTTTTTTTGAACAAGCGCCACATTTTGCGGAACAAAGGTTTATAGTAGATCTTGGTAGCATGATGCAAATTCTTCAAGTTTCGCTATACTCTGAAATTTTTATACTGATTTCCCGAAGAAGTCCGCATAACGGATAGATAGAGCAGACCCTATCAGTTACAAAACAATTATGTTCTCCTCCTCATAACTTGCTATAATTTTCATCATTTCTCGCAATACCACTAAATTTCATCAGCTCTGAATCAGACGCAGGTTCGTCAAATACCAACGCATTCTCGATTTTTGGTACTTTCAAAAAAGAAGTATGATTTGGCACTAATTCTACAAAACTAAGCTTTCGGAATTCGAAAATCGAATCTTGAATTTGCACTCACAGAGGAATGGTCAGAAATCGAAGTGGCTAAATCAAGCAAACTGCATACCATTAGACACAGCATTAAATGTTGAATCCAAATTTATCATCCTTATCTGCAAAGCACTTTTGTGGATGAAATTATAAGCCGTTAAAGCCCATTATATTGCTAAGAAATTGTGCGTGTGAAGTGCAAACTTGGCCGTACAAAGCCATTCTCGGTTCAGTGTTGGATCAAAACATGCAATTAGGTCACTTCATATGGACCGTACTTACAAGGAAAGGAAGGTTGGTCGAAGTGGCCTTATGAAATGACGTGTGCACTGCCTTGTAGAGTTTGGAACGCTGATTCCAAATCTACCTTTGCTATCTGCTGCGGGCTTCTGGGCGGAGAGTTATGAAGGTTTTTGTGAGTACGAATCTGAATGCGAAAATAGGGTAAAATCAGTCGTAATCTTTTCCCAATGTTCAAATGAGGCAGCAGCGAATTGGTATGTCTGAATCAAGAATATTTGTTGCACCGAGTGACCCGACTACCAATTAAACCCAATAAAAATGTTACCACTGATTTTAGCCTACTCTTGCATTCAGATTTTTACTCACAAAAACCTTTATAACTCGTCGCCCAGAAGCTCGCAGCAGATTGCAAAGGTAGATTTGGAATCAGCGTTCCAAGCTCTACAAGGCGTTATACATCTCATTTTAAAAGGTCACTTCGACCAATCTTCTTTCCCTTGTTAGAGGTGAGCTAGAAGAGCGATTAGGACCTAATTTCGCAATTTCTGTGTACGATTTTTTCGCAGTAAAGCTGCTCGTAACTTTGCTTGCAGATATGGGAGACAGATTTGAATTCAACATTCTATGCTGCATCGAATGGTATGCAGCTTGTTTGGATTGGCCACTTTGACTTCTGACCATTTTCTTGTCAGTTTAGCGTCTTCGTAAATATGAATTTTGCTGAGTTTATCCTCCAAGTCTTTGAAAGTCAGAAAAAAACCCCTATCAGAGAGGGGAGTGAATGCCGCATCGAATAACATCCAAGTTGCTCGCGTCTGATGTTCTATGAGGTTTAAGTTGATCATATCTGGAATTTTACCAAAAAATATTTTGAAAAATTTCGCAAAGTAAGCCATAAAAGGGAAAAATTCGCTCTGTAACCTTAAGTTCCTATCGATCCGTTGCTAAGATCTTCTCGGGGAATCAGTACAGAAATTCTAGAAAAATGGCAAAAAATTATTTTAGAAACCATGAGTCGCTTTTAGTAATTTTCTGGGAGCTGGTTTGGTTAAGTGTAATATAGAGGTAATCATTTGAAAGAGCATGAGATACTGCCTCGAGTGCTGCCAAGGTCTTTTGCATATCCTTATTCCGCGAAAGTGGCGCTTGTTCAAAAAGAGCGAAAACACATCCGGAACGACCTATACCAATTCCGCGGGGGAGTTTAAGTAACGGATGGATAGAGGAAACTCTACGATATAAGACAATCTTTTCTTCCTCTAGGTCCCGCTATGATTTTTGCAGAATTTTATTTGAAGCCATCAAATTTATATTTGGCTAACGCAACCTTTACAGAAACCGACGAGGAAGCTGGATGTCAATCAACGCAGTTCCTTCTTCCCTTCTAACGGATTTTTTGGTCTGATTCATAAATTATGCCGGCATAAAATTATACAAGTCATGTATTCCAATGCGAGTAAGGCTGCAACCAAAAAAAGTTGAGGTGTGATTTTTTTAAAGAAGTGCCCATTTGTTTTGTATCGGTGTTCATTCATCTCCGAAATCACCATTCTAAAAATTTGTTGGTATTGATACGGTTTGGCGTAAGACAGTCTGCTAAAATCCAGCAGTTCACATGGAAATTCCATCAAAAATTATTGCAAGTCACTGAAGAAAATAAACTTGCTTTGTATTCGTAGAGTCTGCATTGTTTATCCACGAGTTGGCATCCCGGGTTCCACCCCGTTCTGAAGCCAGACCATCGTGCTTGACCTTTCATATAGCGAAACTTACCCTTCTACTGATTCTGACTCGCCTTGGGTCGCTTCCTACCGTATGCCTCAATGACCAACAAAACAAAATGAGCGCCGCTAATCCATTATGCAAAATGTGCACAAACATACAGGTTTTCTGCTTTTATACAGGGTGTCCCAAAAGTAAGTACACACTTTTCAATCGTCAATATCTTTCTTCCCATGGGTCTTTTTCCTCCATTCAAATACCGTTCTGGGAAGGAGGCTTCAACTTCGATCCACAGTAACGAGCGAATCACCGATCACTCTTCATTACTGTAGGATTACAATAAGAACTTCCAGCATGTCGAACCATGGTGGAATATGCCATCTGACAAAACTTTTCAAAAAATCTGAAAAATCGAGTACTAGGGTTTTGCGCACGCCAATTCCACTACTACAACTTTTTATGAGTGTTTTCAGCTCTTCTGACAGTGTAATTACATTTCCGATAAATGCAGGGAACTTGGTTGTTACGGTTTACTTGGGATGACTTTGGAAAGAGGCATCAAAGTTAAGTGGATTTCGTATTCGAAATTAGCAGCTTCCTTTACCATAGTATAAGAGTTTTTGGCTTGTTTGGTTTTGTTCCGAGGCAAATGGCCTCCAATGGCGTGAAATTCTTGTCGAAGTTCTCACAGTAATCCTACAACGAGAAGCGAACGGTGATACGCTCAATACTGTATATCTAACAAGTTTGTAAGTTGAAGCCTTCTCTACAGAATGGTACTTGAACAGCGAAAAAAAAACCCAATGGGAAGAGAGATATTAACCATTGAAAAATGTGTACTTACTTTTGCGTAGAGATTACTCGTACTTCTTCAAGGAATTCGGTAAAATTTGGAAAAATTGCGAAACTTGAAATCTGCGAAAACCATGAGTCGAAGTTTTTGAGGTTTTCGAGCTCATTAACTGCACTACCATGCAATTATAACCATATAAAAGAGGGTGAAAAGTTGTACTACGCTAGCAAGATTTTCCGAGCATCCTTGATGTGCGAGATACTATGCATTTCAATAAAGCGAAATTACTTTTGGGACCATCTACCAGGCATAATGTTACGGATTTTTGCGTAATTCAACGGTCTCAAAGGCGCAAGACCCAGAGAATGCGTTTATTTTA